GGAGTTCTCACTAGTTATTACTCTACTCTTGGTAACCATTGTACGTACTGGTTACTAAAGTTTTACAAAACCAATGCAAAAGTTTGGAAGACATGGTTTCAAAAACTTATTTTGGGGGGTATTTAATTTTTTCATGATTATGCTGATACCTTTTTGGGTTTCATTTTTGCTACAGCTCAAACACATGATTATGATCAACTGCAGAAAGGTACTGGCTACTTTCTCTGTTAGGAGGCCCTCAAAAGAGATTAAAACAATGATCTTTCTGATGACTAAAATTTTTTGTCTCTTTTTGTCAACTATGAAAAGTTCATGTCTCTCATGATTAAAGGAATGGCCTATAACCCCAAGGACAAGTCATAATTGAACAAGCTTGTTTCTTATTTAAAAATCAAATACATAAACAAAAATGGCAGCAGTGGAGGTGGGGTGGTTTAAAGGAACCGACTGCTCAGGAAAAATTTGTCAAAGCAACTTATACTTTCAATTAAAAAAACATGTTTCTCTCAGTCTTTTCCATGACACCTATAAAAAAAATAACATGAAAAGCAAGGAGTTTTGTCCAAACCCATGGTTTTATATAAATTCTATCAAGGACCCAACCCATGTCTGGATCCTGTTCATTTCAAAACTTGGGGCTGAAGCTTCATATTTTTAATTTCTATCACAGGACTCATAAAGACATACCATGAACTCGAATCAGAAGACAACCTGGTAACCAAAGAGGGACACTTTCTCAGTTTCAACCACATATATACTATATGCCACTTCTAATTTTCACCCTTTACCAAAGTTCTTCTCATTACAATATTATTTTATCTCCTGATTTTAATTCTAAAGCAAGTTCATGCATGCTTGGATACCTGCTAGTCTGGCTTGCCCCTGGCATGGAGGATCTGATTCAGAACAATTTAATTATGCCCTTGAACATATGTGTACAAAGATTCATTGGAATGATTATTGCAGCTGTCCTTGCTGCCACAGTTAAAGCTGTGAAAGGATCCTTAACTCAGTCCATCCAAACTGAAGCAACCATAAATTCCTTCCTATCCTCAAAGTAAACATCTTGAAATGATGTTTGATACTAACTGGCTCAATCCCTCTAAGTGGTTTCCAGGATTAAATCACAAACTGTAGTCTTTTACAGGAAGAACCTCTTTGCCACAGTCCTATTCTCTCTTTGTCAACTTTTCAAAAGAAATACAAAGAATAAAGTGATGCTGGTTTAGGCAGCCCCTACAGTACACCGTACCTTGACCAGCTCTTTACCAGTGACCACCTCCATTGATGTGTTACTTATTTAACACGACAAAAGTAGAGGAAGTGCAGTGATATAATCTGATAAAAATATCTCATAGATTCCAAGAGACTGGGAATTTGGCTGGACAGCATAACCAGAGTTAATAATATATCTTGAGATCACTTAAGACTTAAGACCTTTGGCCTACTGTGTACGTATTCTGTTTGTTTAACCTGCCTTTAGGAGAACAATGTAAGAGCCAACCTTACTTGCCTTGGATTTGCCATGTAATCAACATTTACAACCTAAATTAATCCATAGCTATAATCTTAAATTACACATTCTTCCATGACCCTGACCCAGAGTAACACATATGTTCTAATAATTATGTGCTGAAAAGAGCAAAAATAGAGGTTCAGAACATTCTTATAAAATGAATATCTACCATAAATGTAGAATACATCATTCAGATTTTGCTTGAGAAACAATGATACGTATAGTACTGTTTGCTAGCTGGAGCAGCTCGAGTCAGGATTTAATTCCTTGTAAAACTCTGCTAAAGATTTCTGTAAAGGATCTTCATTCCTTCTCCAATTGATATTTTCTGTGTTATTCAATTTTTTAAAAGCCCTTTGTTAGGGACAGACACACAGAGACAGATATAGACACAGGAAAAGATTTCACAGGACAACATTCAAGCAGACACAGATACACACACATACAACAGAAAGACTGAGGACAGATGACACAGGGAAAGCAAAATAGAGAATCTCAAATCTGGACTTGTTCTTAGTTAAATGACATCAAGAGGAAATGCTTTGATATTTTTTCCTTACTGCAACAGCGACGAATTATTGGTGACTCAGAGTTTACTATTAATGTCTTCAAACCAAGTGCACAAAGGAAATGGGTAAGAGAAGGAAGGATGGAAATAACAAACAAAGTGCTCTAATAACAAAGAGGAAAGAAAACCTAATCAGGGTCCAAGTAGTACAAAAAAAAATCTATGGCACTAAATAACTAAAATGATTTTAATGGAACATAATATATTCAGACTTTAACCTTTTATCTGACACCTTCCCTGGTATTAAAATCTAGTATTAGTATTTCAGTTTGAATAGCAGAGGCATACTAGTCAGGATGATATTTTTAAATACAAGATGGTATGTTTAATATAAGCCTATTAAAATTCTAAATACATAAATAATAATATTACAGCAAAGAAAAATGATGATGACAATAATCACCAATAGGCCCACATATGAATTTTTTACATATTTTGTTTAATTTTTAATATCTAAATTTTGATGCTTGTTTTTTTTGACATAAGAATTAAAGAGAGAGCATGTTGTATCTCCAACATGGAGTTTTATGAGGAAGACTTGTTACCTTGCTCAGGGTGTTGTCAAACTTCCTAGCTTAGGTCATTCATTTTCCTAACTTAGCCTTCTAGGGTGCTTGAACTGAAGACAAGACATGCATCCCTCTGCCTGGCTGCAGTGATATGGATAACGCATCTATAAAGCTGTATAAGCACTGCTCATCAACACTAGTCTCCTCAGACTCCAAAGCCAGATTCTGATCCAGATTTGTAATTATATTGCTTTGATTTTAGAGAACAATTTACAATGGTCTCTCTCCTTAATGACAGAACAAGTGCCCAGGGGACAGATGGAAAGTTCAGTTTGAAAATACCATCCAGGAGTGAGAATTAATAGAATTTGATGGAGGATGAACTGGAGAAAAAGCCAAAAATTCACAGTAAGTACCTCTAATCTGAGCAAGTCATTTATCCCCTTCAGGTAAGTGTTCTTTGTATCTATTACTAAAATAACTGAACTATGATTTCTAAGGAGCCTTACCAGTCCCAGTATTCTATTACTTGACATTTCTTTGACAATTTTTTTAAAAATATGAATGTGTAAAAAAGGGGGTGGGGTGGGGGAAGACGTCTGTCTTCCTAGTAACACAATTCAGGAATCTTAGCTAATAGTGACATTTTAAGCTCTTACTCTTAAAAACCTACCATTATATTTCCCTCCATGCTTCCCACCAAAAAAAATTTTGATTTATAATTTGAGATGGGAACTCTTCTTGTTGCTCAGGCTGGTCCCCAAATCATGGGCTTAAGCCATGAAGTTACCAGGACTATAAAGACATATTGCTGTACCTAGCCAACTATCTGTTTGGTCCATAGCATAAAAATAAAAAATAATTTCATTCATTTAAAGTTAAAGTGAAACCTAGGAAAATATACAGATGTTTTGTGGGATCCCAATTGATTTTTTCAGAAACGAAATTAAATTTGGAGTTTGGCTTTGAGATTAAAGCTCAAGAATATGATCTTTTTAATTCAGAGCTTCCCCACTCCTCGTCCCAAGTTCCATTCACTGAAAGCACACGCTCCTCTTGCAATTGTACTAACTGATGTTTATAATTTGCTAACAACTCTCCCCAGCCAAGAAAGTGTTGTAGGTAGATGGGTAACAGTAAGATATGTGAAGAGAATAGCTTAATGTTGTGTGTGTAAAGTTCACACTGATGAAGAAATTATTAAATTGTTGCAAAGAATTACTTTTAAAAGGAACTATATTCTAAATATAATTAGAATTTACACAACAAAAATAAAAGTTAAAAACATAAATAAAAGTTCAGTCGGGATTGTGGTGATGATGCGTGAACTTTCTTACAATCACTTTTGCCACCTACTGGCTAGAAAAAGAATACACCCTAGAGGCTGAAGAAAATGCCTGTGTGTTATAAAATGCTTTGAGATTACTGGAATCTGAGAAACAATAAATAAAAAGCGTTTGAGTCAAATTTCTTCATGAAGAAAGCAGGGCAGAATTACTGTTGAGAACATGGGAGAAGAAAAGAGAGGAGGTGCAGAGGAGAAAGGAAATGAAGAGGAAGGAAGTGGGGAAGGAAGAAAGGAGGGGAAGCTTAATCTGTACAGATAAGGAGAGTGATTAAAGCAAAGTGATCAGCAAGTTGGTAAAGGTCCTTCTGAGGTTTGCATTTCTGACCTAAGATGGTTAAACACATAGTCGAGTGAAGTGGATTGCTCATGCCATGCTTGTAGGCAATATAAACAGGAACTGAATTCCAGATCTTCAGATCTCTAGTTGTTCCTTTCCATGTCCAAAGAATGACTTTGTTTCAGATTGTTTTACATTTCCTATGTTCCTTATTATATCCCAAAGGAAGGCCACAAATGTTCCTCAAATCTTAGTCATTACAAAGGCATGTAGTTGAACAACACATAGCTTTCTCTAGTCTTTTGTTTTCTTTACAAATACATTTGAGTAAACACACACACACACACACACACACACGGCAAGGGGCAGTGCAGAAATCTTCACAGAATATCGAAGTTGAAACTACAGGTACATTGACCTTCCAAATATATGGATTGTATTATAATCTATCTCCATATAGCCAAAATGCTATGTGGCTAAGTGTACCCTGCTATATGGGCACTGAAGCTGAGCAGTGCTTGAACTTCTCCTCTTCCTGCAAAACAAAGTTTTTCCAACTTTCTATTCACTCTGCAAATAATGAAAACATCAAATAATCAGAACATGGACAACACATTGAAGAGATTTTGAAGTGTTTTGAAACTCTCTCAATCCCCTGAACACACTCTTGTGTTTTCATCAGTCCTTCCTCCTTCCATGTTAGCCCTTGTCATTCTTGCCCCCTACATAACAAAGCCTATGATTACATACCAAAGTCTTGTGCCTGCTGCTAAAGCACTTACCAGGATTGTCAGGCTGCATGATGGCTGTCACAAAGGTATGAGGAAAGAGCATGACTGCACCTTTCCTCATGCCCTGAAGCTGTAAAGTGTTGCCCTCGAACATAACCCCATGTACGTCATTCTCTGTGCCCAGGCCAAGCAGGTGCCAGGCCACAGTATCACCTTTGCACATGTCCAGCCTGGGCAGGTTAGAGAATAGAAATCCATTAATAGCTGGAAAATAAAAACACAAGACAAATTAGGGAGATGAGATCAGACTATTCAAATCATAGTCAGCACCATATCAGCCCTGTACTTTGGTTTCCCATAACTTAAAATTCCAGAGCATCCTAAATATATCTGCTTCCTGTTACGGTAGTCAATTTCTACTCATAGAATTTCTTTAGGATGAGAGCCCAACCAGCTTTTTTGGTCTCATCTCTTTCCTCTCCTTTGCAACACTCTGGAAACAGAGAACTATTACCTACTACTTCAACTCCTACATGCATACACCCAAATACACACACCTCAAACTCTCCTGTTTACCCTTAGTTTTCCAACTTGTCTTGTATGCTACATGTTCTAATTTTCTTGCAATGTCTGTGATTGTTCTTTCTCCTCACTGTTCTAATTCTACACCCTTCCATACAGTGTTTCCCAAAGTTTCAAATTCAAATTAACACCTCCTCTTCATCTTCACTGATAATGCAAAAGATATTTGCTCACCGACAACTCTTGGTGAAAAGCCTCTTTCCAGACACCCCTACTTAAACCATTTACATACACATACACCCCCACCATTATCCTAGGAGGTCTAACATCTTCATATCTTTAAAGTGTTAAGCTTAGTTTATTAACAGTGTATGTTTTTATATGCTTCCCTCTCAAGCGTAGAATAAACTTCAATTCTTGCCTCTATGTAATCTACTAATCTACTTATCCATCATGCCCTCCCTATCCCTCAGTCTTTCTGTATGTCTGTCCTTCCTCTAAAGGAAGATTTCTGTAATACAACATATTCCAGAGTGTCCAAAAATTTCCTACACCAAGAATCTCCATTTTTTGTCTCTCTATGACTGCCTATTAGGAGTTCAACTAATTCAAAGTGGAATGACATGAATCATGGGAGTGTCTTACTGTTCCCACAATAATGGACTACCTTGGGAAGAGAAACAAGGATGTAGAAGTCAATGCATTCAATTTTATGTCTTCTTACTATTTACTTGCCCCCAAATATAGAGAAAACTTTCAATGCTCCCACCTACACTGGAATCAGAGTCCAGGATTCATTTAACCAACCCCCTGGGTTCTGATGAGAACATTGCTAATCTTCAGTTCTGCCTCCACTGTCTATAATGTCTTGACTGTAACCCTATTCAGTTTTCAGCTCCAACTCAAGCATTCCCTTCTTCAATGGATCATCTACACTTACTGTTCCTTATTAATGTTCTTCTCTTTTGGACTTAAAAGGCTCTTTTACACATTTAGTACTCTGCCTGGACTATTCTATAATTATTGTCATGGGTGTTATTTACATCATTGAAAATTGCTGGGTGCTCAGTGAAATCTGGGACTAGTTTTTTCACCCCCTCTTTCATCCACCTAGCCATTAATTTGGTAGTTCAGTAATTCAATTAACATTCACTATGTGTTAGAACCTAATAATTAAATAATGTAGAAGATGCATAGATAATCAACATACTGTAGAGGAAGTAAAGAACTATGTACCAATTACAATGTTGATGACTATATGGAACATATGCTTCTAAAATTAATAAAGTACAATGGTGCATAGAACGGAGAATCACCACCTTGGACTTGAGTGATAAGAAGTGGAAATATTGGTGAGGTAGCTTATGAGTAGAATCTTAGAAATGGGAAGAATTTCCAAATGCTGACAGTAAATGTGTGAATATGTATTTTTTAAGTAAAAAGCATAACAATGCAAAAATATGAAATAAGTAGAAGCTATGGTTGTGGGAAGAAAAATGGCCATGCTTTGCTGACGTATGATATATGGGAGAAAGGTAGAGGAAGACAAGACTGGATGAAGCCCAGTGATAGAACATTTGCCCAGCAGGCAAAAGGGTCCTGGCTGCTATTACTAGAACAACAAAGAAAAAGAATGAAAGAATATCACCCCAGCTTAATCTGGCATACACTGTATAATATCACTTGTATACAATTTTCATCTTCCACCACTATCTTCCCATACCATATCCTCCCATACTGTGTAATACAGATCACGGCCCAAGACATCAGTGTAAGAACAGCTGCTGTTGCAGTGTGGTGACATGGCTCAGTAGTTAGGACAGCCTCTTCTAACCTCTGTGTATAACTACAAACACAGAGTAGTGGGTATGAGGGGTGTAGAGAAAGAATAGGAAGAATAGTAATAATAATAATTTTTAAAAACAGAACTGTTGTTTTACATTTTATCCTTCAATCTAGCTTGTCTCTTGGATAGAGATGATCAATGAGATGAAAATTTTTAGGAACTAGTTATAAGTATGGTTTGAATGACATTTTGCTTGAGGCCTTAAAGCTATAGTTAAAAGCAAAAACTATTCCCCATACCATGCATTCGATTGGAATCTTGGAAGCCCTCGACATCCTCTGAGAGCAGTCGGGAATCCAACATACCAGCTGCCTGATTGGCATTGTTGTACCAGCTCTCATTCTCATCAAACACAGTGAAGAGGAGAAAAAATTCTTTATCCACTCCTTTCTGTAGTCCCATTGGAAAAAAATAGAGGGAGGAATGACAATGGTTTCAGCAGTTGAATATTTCGTAGTTGTAGACCCAAGGATTCCTGATTCTTTCTCATTTCCTTTTTCAGATCCCGAGCCAGGCTCATATCTCATGCTCAGAGCTGCAGTTGTTGCTAGGCAGGCTTTCATCAGGAAAACTTAAAATTGTAGAGGAGATAAGGTCAGAGTAAAGGAACAAGACTGGAGGCAAGTGATATATGAAAGAAAGCAGGGAACAAGCACCAGGTGTGGATTAAGGAAACAGCACACAGTATGTGACCAGAGATAGCCCAAAGCCATCTAGGGAGAGGACTGAGGGGAGAGTAACTAAGAAAGCAGGGAGGGCTTATGAAGGAAAATTTGAAAAAATAAAATCAGTAGAAATGGATTACCATTATTTACTATTTTTACAGCTACTGTTTACTAGGTGCTTACTATATGCCAGATACTGTAGAAGCACTTTCCGTGTATTAATTTTATGATTATCCGAAGAAATCAAAGATAACTTCTTCCTTTGTTAACCCTTTCTTTACAGATGAAGAAGTTGAGTTAAAGAGAATTTAAGTAACTGGCCCAAGGTTATACAGTTAGAAATGATGGGTTAGATGGGAAAAAAAGGCAAACATATATTAAAGTAAGTTTATGGACTGGGAACAATTTTATGGGCCACTGAGGTAGGAGGGAAAATAATAATTGAAGGATAGGATAAAAGAATCAAAACCTAAGATAGCTCTGTGTTTTCATATAAAATAAAATACATAAGAACAGGAGGTTATCATCTATTAATTTCTGATATAATTGCTTTGTTTATGTTGCTTCTATTCCCTTACCTTCAAGATCCAGCCCCATCATTGACACAACCCAGAAACTCAGCTTTATTTCTCTCCAGCCAGCCTTTTACCCAGACTCCCCAGAAATACCTGCTTGCCATCTGCACCCAAGGCCCCAGCCTTGCACACCAGTAGAGGGCCCACCAGGCCAGAATTTGTATCTCTTGTGGGATCTGCAGCAGAGAAGTACATCCAGGTTAGACAGGCAGGATCCTGAGCAGTAGGCCCAGCATGAGGAGGAACTGTCCAGTAGTATGTTACTTTTTCAAATGACTTGGCTACTTTGGGATGAGATGTGCCTGTAGGGAAACATGAAATCATTATTCACATTGGCTAGAGCAAAGATCATCGGCTCCAAAGAGCATAATAAAAATTATAAACTATATATCAACGATGGTAGTACATGCAACCTGATACTGAAAAAATTTCTGGTTTAGGAACATACAAGACTGGCTTTAGCAATCAGGAGCCCAGAGTTTGGGTTCTGGCTCTATCACTAGCTATTACATGAACTGAGTCAGTATGGACATTGATAAAGTTTCAATTTTCTTAAATCATATGACCTCACTACTGAAAGAGATTTCAATATTTCTTTGGAATATTTCTTATTTGAATACATACATTAATTTACTCTTATATACCTACCTCTACTTAAAACACTTCATTGAAGGGAAGACTTACTACCTGTCATTATGGTCCATTTCATCTTTGAACAATTCTGATTACAAACACTTTTTTAATTTAACATATATGTGTGCATGTGAAAGTGTACATGTCTATAGATGTACATGTTTGTGCATGGAGATTACTTATACTGTAACTTCTTTATAATTACTCATTTTTTACAGTGCTGGAGAATAAATGCAGTGCCTTATTCATGCTAGACAAGAGTTCTACCACTGAACTACAGCCTCTTGAGGGTATAATCTTTTAAATAGACACAGAACATGCTCAAAGTAAAGAACTAGATTTTTATTTTAATTTTCAGCATATTAGTAACTATAAATGAAAGTACCTGAATAATTTGTAATCTATAAAATTGGCATTGTTTTATTAATTATACTCAGTATGGTGAAAATGGTTCAAATACTACCTAACTCATTCACCTGAAAAGAGTTTAGATACAAACAGAAATGACTCTTTCTGAAAATAATACTGGCAAAGTGCATCAAAAGTCCTAAAAAAATCTTCATGCGCAGAAATAAAGTTAGATGTATAGAGATTACTTTAAATAAGGTTAAAATAAAGCAGGCAAATAAATACAAATCAACAATACTGAATTACACTGGTGTTGCTTATAAGACTCTCGTTTTGACCAAATTATATAAATAAATAAATAAATAAATAAATAAATAATTGTCCTAGTGCAGGTGAGGTTGTAAGGAAATGAACCCTTTCATAGTGTTGATGCACTAAATATTAATCAGATTACAAATCTGTGCAGAAAACAATATGGAAGAAGGTGATATAAATTTCAATGTGCATATCCTCTGACAAACTAATTATATCATGAAGAAATAATCATAACAATCCTATAATAACCTACAAATATACATTGGTAGTATAATTTGTTTCAAAGGGAAAATATTTGATGTGTTATGAACTTCTTTTCTTATTCACTCATCATTTCTAGTTTCTTAAATTTTAATAAATAGAAAACTTTAAAGAATAATACAATGGATGCGACACAGAAGAGGGAGCTAGTTGATAAGGAAGGGGAGGAATGGTAGAGAAGAGACATCATAGAAAGAGAATATAATTAAAACATTGAACATATATGAAAATATCATTATAAAACCCAGCTTTTACAATGAAAAGAAAAAACAAATGTTTTAAAAGGCACAATTATGATCCTACCTTTAGACTCAATGCCCTTTTATAAAATTTTGCCATCTTTAATGTATTTACATCTACTGAGGATTATAGTTTAGTGGTAGAACATATTCTTAGAATCTGTTTTATCCTCAGCCACCATAAGAGGATAAAAGTCCCCATTCATGCATATTTACATCTATTCTCCTATATACAGGTTTTTCCTTGTTTGGTCTTTCTTTTGCTGAATCATTTACAAATAAAATTTAAGCCACCATGACCTCATACTTGAAAATACATCAGTAAGAATTTCCTATGATAGGGCTGGGCAGATGGCTCAGTAGTTAAGAGCATGTATTGCTCTTGTAGAAAACCTGAGTTTAGTTTCCAGCACACCCTTCAGGTAGCTTATGACTCACTCCAGCTCTAGGAGGATTGAACACCTCTACCTTCCAAGGGCACCTGAATTCATGTGCACATACACAAACACACACATGCATAATTAAAAATAGTAAAACTGAGCTTATCACCAGGGTCCCTGTAACCACCTCATGTACTACAGATCCAAGGAGGCTACCACTGTTCTCCCTTCCTGCATCTCTCCATTTAGCTCACCAGGTCCTAAAGCTGCTTGCCAGTAGTAGTTACCTCCTTTCAGCCTGTATCCTTCTGGCACTCACCAGCTCAATCCTCAACAGAGATCCTTACCATACATAATCCAGAGTCCCAAAGCCATGGCAACTGCCTGATTAGGACCCTCTCATTACCCTATAGAGCTTTTAAACCCAAGACAAATCCACATTGCCAAGGGAAATTTGCTCAAGACTCTATCCAAACCTAGATGGAAGTTGTATTCCCAAATACCAGTTAAATAGATGAAATAAAGATTCCAACCCTATTAGGAATTAGCACTGTCCAGAAAACATTGTAAAAACCACTGCTGAAAGAAGAAAAATGAGTTGAACAAAAACAAAAGAAAGAAAATTAATAAACAAAGTAAACCCAGATATGCAAGTTCTAATGCAGGGATAACAACACACATATACACTCAAAAACAAACAAACAAACAAACAAAAAAACATGCTATCTCCAAACCACAAATTCACACAGCAATATCCCTTGTTAAAAATAAATGGAGACACTTTCAGACAAAAAATTCAAAAGATTATCACAATGGTAAACAGCTGAAACAATATATAAGCAAAGAGGTACCAGAGATAAGGAAGTCAATCCAAGACATGAAAATAGAGTTTACAATTTTAAAAGACTCCAAACTGAAAAGATGCTGGAAAGAAAAAACTCAAAAAGCAAATTAGAAATGTAAATGGAAGGCCTCACCAACAAAATATGTCATAAGAAAAACAGAGATTTAGTGATAGCTGACAAAGTAGAGGTATTGGATTATTTAGTAAAGGTCAATGAAAATTTTTAATACATATGATCGAAACACAGAAGAACTTTGGGACATCAATGAAAGACCTAGATTCCAAAAAATGGGCACAGAAGAAGAAGACTATCACATTGAAGGCATAGAGAATAGTAAAATCACAGAAGAAAAATTCCCAACCCAGAGAAAAAGAAGCCCATCTAGGTTAAAAAGAAAAGTCCTATGGAGCAGACAAAAATAAACATATTAAAGTTAAAGCATTAAATATGAAGGATAAAGAAACGGTACTGGAAGATACAAGAAAGAAAAGTGAAGTCACATTTAAAGGCATAGCTGTTAGAACAAACATTACATATCTAACAGAAACCTTTAAAGCCAGAAAGGCCTAGAAAGATGTACTCCAAATCCTGAGACATCACAACTGTCAACACAGACTATAATACTCAGAAAAACTAAAAACTATTAAAATTAAAGAAGAAACAAAAATTTCCATGGTAAAAACATACTAAAGGAATCTATAACTAGAAATCCAGCTCTACAGAACTAGACTAATATTCAATTTGAAGAAAAGAATAAACAAAACCAAGAGGTCATGAGGACCAAATAAGCAATGCCAGGACAGGTAATCAAAAGAGATCTAAGAATACATCACCAAATCAACAAAAGGACAAGAATTAACACACGTCATGCAACAGTAACTGAAGATTATTGATCTCACTTGACAATAAAAAGACACAGACAGACTGTATTACAACAAAGGATTCATCTGTTTGTTACCTTCAAGAAATATGACTCACCATGAAAGACAGACACCTTCTTAAGATAAGGGGACTTTTAAAAATGCATTCCCTGAGAGGTTCTGCCAGAGCTGGACCCATCAAGATGCAGATGTACATAGCCAAACATTGGACTGAGCATGGGGATCCCAATGGAGAAGTTAGTGCAAGGACTGTAGGAGCTGAAGGGGTTTGTAACCTCATAGGAAGAAAAATATCAACCAACTAGACCCCCGTGAAGCTCTCAGGGACTAAACCACCAACCAAAGAATATACAGTGGGTACCCATGGCTCCAGCTGGATGTGTAGCAGATTCCTTATTTGGCATCACTGGGAGGAAAGCCTCTTGATCCTGTGGAAGCTTGATGACCCAGGATAGGGGAAGGCCACTGAGGCAAGTGTGGGTGTATGGGTGGTGGAGCACCCTCATAGAGGCAAGGGGAAGGAGAAGAGAATGGGCAGCTTGTGGAGGGGAAACTGGGAAGGGGGGATAACATTTGAAATGTAAATAAATAAAATAATCAATAAAAATGAAAAATTCATTCCAAGCAAATGAAAATGAAAAATAAGCAGATGTAGCTATTTAAATACTTGAGAAAACTAGTCAGAGATGTAAAATGGATATTTCATGATCCTTATAGAAAAACTCTACCAACAGGAGATTACTATCAGAAAAATATACATACCAAATACATGGATGCCTGATTTCATAAACAAATTATTATTAAAACTAAAACCACAGACCCAACATAGTGACAGTGGGTGACTTCAATATCTGACTCTCACTAATAGATAGGTCATCCAGAAATAAACTAAGCAGAGATAGGCTGGAACTAAATTACATAAAAAAGAAGAAAATCAAATCAAATGAACCTAACAGAAAACTACAGAACATTCCATACAAACACCAAAATATACACATTCTTCTCAGAAGCCTATGGAATGTTCTCCCTAATAGACCATGTACTAGTACACAAAGCAATACTCAACAAATAATGCAAAACTAAAATCACATCCTTATCCTACATGACCACAACAAGATAGAACCAACTATGAGCAGGCAAAGAAATGACAGAAAGTATAAAAATACATAGAAACTAAAAAACACACAACTGAATGATAATTGGGTCAAAGACGAAGCCATGAAAATTATTTTCAAAATTCCTAGAAAGATCAGAGAGATGGTACTGAGGTTATGTGTACTTCCTGTTCTTGAAAAGAACCTGAGTTTGCTTGCTAGCAACCACATGACAGCCCATAACTGCCCATAGCCTCAGCTCTTATAACTCCACTTCTGGTTTTTTTTGTTTGTGTGTGTGTGTGTGTGTGTGTGTGTGTGTGTGTGTGTGTGTGTGTGTGTACCAAGCCTGTAAATGGCACTCATACTACTCATACGTACCTACAGGCAAAACACTCATATACCTAAATTAAAACAAGTTAATCTTTAAAAATAAACTTTAAAATATCTTAGAATAGAATGAAAATGAAAAGACATTTCAAAATCTATGGGACAAAATGAAGGCAGTCTTAAGAAGAAAGTTTACCACTAATGTCCACATAAAAAAATTAAGAATTCTAAAATGAATGAATTAATGATGCAACTAAAGGCCTTGAAAAAACAAGGGCAAATACCACTGATCAAATGTGTGTGTGTGTGTGTGTGTGTGTGTGTGTGTGTGTGTGTGTGTGTATGTGTGTGTGTATGGTAAGAGGTAATCAAAATAAGGGCTGAATTACTGAAATGGAAATGAAAAATTCAATACAATAAATCAATGAAGCAAAGAGCTGATTGTTTGAAAATGTTAACAAACTTTTGGTCAATTTAACCAAAAGAAACAGAGGATCCAAATTAAGAAAAATACAAATGTAAAGAAAGACATTATATTAGACACCGAAGAAATTCAGTGAATCATTGGGACATACTTTAAAAAAATCTATATTCCACAAAGTTGGAAAAGTTTAGCAAATGGATAAATTTATAGATACATTTGGCTTAACATATTTAAATTCTCCACCAGAAATCTCCTATACCCGATAAATATATCCAACAAAGTAGCAAAATAGAAAATTAACAGACAAAAATCCTAATAGTTCATAAACGATGAAACCTACCCAAATGGTTGAGAAACACACTTAAAAAGGTTCAATATGCTTAGCCATCAGGGAAACGTAAAATAAAAACTATTTGAGATTTCGCTTTACCCCAGTCAGAATGACCAAGATCATGAAAACAAATGGTGGACACATGCCACAGAGAAGGGAGAACATTTATTCATTGCTGGTGGGAGTCCAAACTGTTACAGTCACTATGAAAATCAGTGTGGAGAAAAGCTATAAAGAGATCTACCACATGACCCAGTTATATCACTCTTAGTCATATCTTCAAAGGAGTCTGTATCCTACCATAGAGATACCTGGATAGCCATGTTCATTGTGGTTCTAGTCACACTACCTGGAAAATGGAAATAGCCTAGATGTCTATCAACTGATCAATGGGTAGTGAAAAGTCTTACATTCACACAATATAATATTACAGCTGTTTAGAAAAAGAAACGAGCCGGGCAGTGGTGGCGCACGCCTTTAATCCCAGCACTTGGGAGGCAGAGGCAGGAGGATTTCTGAGTTCGAGAGTTCGAGGCTAGCCTGGTCTACAGAGTGAGTTCCAGGACAGCCAGGACTACACAGAGGAACCCTGTCTCGAAAAACCAAAAAAAAAAAAAAATTATCTTCTGTGTTACTAGTAAATCATTATTAAAACTAAGAAGTCCCCTAACATCATGCAAGGAATAATTTATGCCCAAACCTCTTAAGTTATCCCCAAATTTTCTGCTTGCTTTCATTTTTAAAATTTTCTGTGACAGAATTTTACTAGGTGGCACAGGCTATCTTAGAAATGAGTATGATCCCAGGGTAGTTTCACTTATCCTGGCAATCCTCTTCTGTTTCCCAACTGCTGTGATCATAGACATGAGATATCATACCCAACATGTTATGCTTTTTGGACAGAGTCTTGTTTTACAGCATCAGAATGGCTTCAAACTTGTATGCCTCCTGACTTGGCCTCTAAAATATCGGTATTACATATGTACGCTCATATCTGAGTTTTCAGTGTTTGTTCAAGCTATTTTTATATCAAGGATCAATAGAAGTTTGCAGGTTGCATTTGATTGTTATCTGTGTAACTCTGTCCCCTTCTTCATAATATTGACTTCATAAAAAAACAATCTCTGAATGGGTTATAGAAAGTATTTTTATATTTGTTTGCAACTTTGACATTCGGTGCATCTTATATGCTTATATTACAATGAGAAAATAAGAAATCAGTTACACAGTAATCTCACTGCTAGGATTCTGTCATATGATGTAACCCCTCCCCCAAATGAAGCTAGGATATACACATTCATTATTTAAATGTTAGGGCTATTTAAAACTTCTTTTAAAAAGTTATATGCCTTAGCAATAGACACTAAAGTAAATAAGCTATGGAAAATCCATGTGAAAAGGTGTTACAGAGGCCATGAAAATGTTATATTATGATCACAGACAGTTAAAATGTAATGTTAACAACAGTAGAATGAAAAACTGTTCAAATCTTATCATCTCATTCTTTAAATATATGAATAATACATTATCAAATAATAACTTATAATTATAGAAAATATTGAAAAGACATAAAAATATAAATGACAATTTTCCTATGAATGATTATTTTGTGATTGTATATATTCATGTTTTTCAAAAGTTCATGATGAGCATATTTTATATTAAGAATATATTCACATATATTTTAATTTTGGTTCTAAGAATAGAACTCTAGATTTTACCCATGCCACATATACCTGTGGCTTCTAAAAATACTATTTACAAGACTACATTTTCAGCAATACTTTAAAAATCTTTTTAAATGCTTTTAAATCTTTTTAAAACAACTTTAAAAATCATGTTTTCTATTATTAATGAGTTGGGCTCTTTTTTTACTATTTCATTATTCATTCATTCAAATGACCACAACTTTGCTCTTCCTCCCCACTCTTCACTTATTTCCTTCTAGAACCACCTATTGCCTACATTATTGGAAACCGTTCCAACTCACCATCATTGTACACAGTGCCCTCAGAGTTTTTCTCATAAAAGACGCCATGGGGCTGTATGCTAAATGGCTGGGAGGCACGGTTATAGAAGACCACCTGGATGGTGTCACCCACTTCAGCCCTTATCACTGGTCCTAGAAAATGGGAAAGTGAGACTGAGACTATGAAACTGAACATGTATCAAGAATATAAACAAAAGGATAGGAAGAAGAAATAACTGAATTTACATAAGATAAAAAATACTTCTCCTTAAAATAATCTATTCTAAGAATCATGCTAAAGGCACTATTAAATCCACTGTCTCTCATAAACCTCACATATTACTCTAAGGTATACACAGGAGGGGTTATTGCCTCCATTATACAAATGAAATAACTTCAGAGAAGAAGGATTGACCTGTAAAAATTCAAGTAACAATGACAGAGCAAGAATCTAAGGTCATGATTTTCTTTTACATCCCACTCAGATCCATTTCAATTAGTCTTACATTTGTTTTCTGTTCTGCCATAGTTACATTTCCTGGTAGATTCTATCTAAGATCTGAGCTCACCAAAATCTCAACCAAATTATAATCAAAGAGAATACAGGCCCTGAACTAGATTGGTAGTCTAAGCAGAACTTCTGAGTTTTGGTGTGTGACTTGGGTCACATTGGAGGCTACTAACACATCAGCCTGACTGTTTATACTGACTCTACTCCAAGGTTAAACCTTCTAGATTGGTTTCCTAGCTTAATTTCCACATGGTCTTCATTACTGAACAACTAAGTATACACACAGAACACTACCCAAACAAAAACCTCTCATTCCTAGGAATGATATTTTCTCCTCATATTTCTAACAATGTTTTCTATACAGAATCAGTTGTACACAAATAACCCTGGAACATTATATTATTTCTCCAACCTGATCTATTTCATTTCTTGGTTTCATGAAGTGATTAAACCATACCTAATCTTCTTCTATTGTATTAATGCTGTGCTTTAGACATTCTAAATATAGTTTTCAATATCATACAACAAGCCTAGTTCTATATCCATAATAATATTGAACATGTCTATATATTGTGGTAGTATACTTCTAACTCTATACTGTCAAGATTCTTGTTGATCTTTCTGCCTTTTAATAGCTCTTCAACAATATCCCTACAGAGGCAATTCACAGAATATAAATGGTAATAGGGGACATTATCAAAATATTTTAGCAGTGCAATTTGAGAACTGATATATAATCTCCATTTTCAGCTTGAACATTCATCATAAACAAAAATAAACCTAAGGTTCTCAAAAGTCTTATAGCAAAATTCTAGTTGACTATGCTTAACCTATTGATTTTAAACACACTCAGACCTGTGACATATTTTTACAAATGCTCATTTCTTGGGACTGAACTTGGGAGATCCATTTACACAGACTTCCCTTGAGTCACTACAAGACTCAAGGAATATATTCTTCTCACTTCTTTGTCTCTAGTTCATGAAATTTAAGAGTTAAGGATTACTCACCCAGTATTCCAAGATGTGTTTCTTCTTCCTGATGTATCCTTTCCTGGAATGTCTCATCTTTAAAAGCTTCATATCGAACTTTCCAGTAAGTACCTCCAATTCGACTAGAGCTCTTCTGAAAGTACTTATCCGGGCCACTGACAGGTAAGAGGGTAAATGTTATACGAATACATTGAGTATCAAATAGACTCCCACCTCGTCCTTTATCACACAGACTTCTAGATCTTTATGGATGACCTAGATGAATTCACAACAAGGAAGACACCTTCTCTGGTCTGTAGTACTATTAAGTGGTATACCAAGAGTCTTCTGTATCCAAATTCACTTGCCCACTTATGAAGAAGCATCCAGAGTACACTAGCACTTTCTCTATGGACAGTCTTCAGAAACTGGGCATTGGATGGGTGATGGTAGCTTTTATCCCTGTAGTAACTTCTAAGATCACAAGTTTTACATGATAAGTGCATTTTTTCAGAGCTTCAGCAGTACGTGAATATCTTTGCTGGAATACTGGTTGCTTTCTCCTTCCACATAGGTGGACCCTCTCTGGTGCTGCCCCACGGGAATACCAGCCCCAGCAATGAATATCCATTTATTTGGCTCTCGAGTAATCATGATCATTTACTCCACTGTTACATGTCTGTGTTTGTTATCATATTTATTTTGCTCCTAGAAGGTCTAAAAGTTTATCTGCTTCTTCCTGAACAACTAACAAAGAATCCCTGTTGTCCTTATCTTGTCATGAATAAAGTTTCTAAAGAACATCACTCCATTGTCACTGGAACATACACCTCTAGACACTTCACTTTGTTTTGACAGGAATATGGTCAAAACGTCTTTTATATCCTAGATCTTAAAAACACAAAACAACAACAACAACAACAAAAACCAACAAATGCTAACATAATCTGCAAGTCCCAGACAGGCAGCTGGAAAAAGCAGCAGGATCTAGCCTCCTCATCACCAGACAACCTCTCAAGAACTTCTCTATGCCCTAGTACATCCTGCCATCCCAAGGCCATCTTTATTCCAAGTACACCCCAAATTTCTCTACATAAAAAAGGGCCTATCTCTCTATAATATACATGTTATGGTAAAATGTCAAATGCTCTTTAAGCTTACTGAGAAACTGACTCTGAAGACGGTCTGGCTTTCCCCTTCCCTTTCAGATACAAGCCTGTTAACTTAAAGTCTCTTCGAAGGCCACTTATCCAGGGACAGGCTGGTCCCTAGAGAAAGTTAAATAAGAACAGCAAAACCTGACATGAGTAAAAAATACCATGCTCTTGAGAATTATAGGAGGGTAAATTGTTAGAACAAAAACATTGTGTCCTTTAAAACAACTTGGAGACTAACCATTCCCAACTACCTTCCCAAAGAAAAAAATTCAGCTTATCCTATGACATAAAAATATAATGTTGTATAAAAACTAGGAAAAACTAATTAGAAGTATCACTAAAGAGAAGACATTTTACCTGGTGATTCTCTTAATTGGTCATAGAATCTAGGTGACTCTGGTTCCTGGGTTGCCCTACTAGTTTCTGCTCAATGATATAAATGTCTGATCTGATTGTCTACCATCCCTCTTCTGCTTGCTATTTTATCCTTTATTGTTAGTTGCTGTACACTTAACAAAAGCCATTCATTCCAAAACAAACACACAGCTATCACGAACTATTCTCCATATGGAGCACTCTCCCTAGGCATTGGGCAGATGTTAAGCAATCTTAAAATCTGTTTGCTTGTTTGTTTGTTTAAATAAAACCCACCACTATTTAAAGAAAGAAACACTATCAAATTCTCTGTGCAAAATTTGTATTTCTTTAACACAAAACCAGTTAAAGGCACAAACACACAAAAAGAAAGTTTATATTATAGAGCAATCTTGTTGATATACATAGGTACTTAATAAAATACTCACAAATGAAATTCAATAATACACCAAATATGTTATTACCATGATCAACTTGACATTATTCCAAGAATGCAGTGGTGCTTCAACATATGCAAATTAACACATAAAAATCAGTAGTCTACTTATATATCATAAGTGAACATGCTGAGAAAGAAATCAGGAAAGCAATCCCATTCAAAATTGCCTCCAAAATAACTTTGGAATAAATGTAACCAAGGAAGCAAACAACCTCTACATTGCAAACTTTTTAAATACTCCAGAAAGAAATTGAAGAGTACTCCAGAAGATGAAAGGAACTCATGCGCTCGTCTAAAGGAAGAATTAATAAATGACTATGCTACCAATAGTAATCTATGTACTCAATACCATGACCATCAAAATTTTATCACCCTGCACAGAAACAGGAAAAATATATTAAAGTTCATTTGGAAGCATAAAAGATCCCAGATCATCAAAGAAATTCTGAACACACACACACACACACACACACACACACACACACACACAAATAATGCTAGAGGTATCAGAATAACTGATTTCAAATTGCTTTACAAACTTATAGTAATAACAATTATAAAAGGAAAAGCACGGATAAAGAACAAGGACAGACACGTGGAAGGATTTGGAAGGAGGAAAGGGAAGAGGAAAATGATGTAATTATAATCTCAAAAAGTTAAAAGAAAACCATACAATCATTTAAAAATAAAACAGGAACAGAATGGTACTGCAACAAATATAGACATGTAGATAACTAGAGCAAAATCAAAATCTACATACAAGCTCACCCACTCAGTTACAGCCCCTTGAACTCTTATAAAGATGTCAAAAATGCATGGTACAGAAAAGACAGAGTTCTCAATAAATAGTGCTAGCAAAATTCGATGTTCACATGTAGAAGATGAAATTAGATTTCTGTTTTTCAACCTGCACAAAATCAACTCCAAACAGACCAAAGAGCTTAATGTAAGACACGAATTTCTGAAACTGCTAGAGGGTAAAGAAAGGAAAATATTAAAACTATATAGCCATAGATAATAGCTTTCTGAGAACTACAGTCATTCAGATTATAAAGGCCAACGCTGAGAAATGAAAACATGAAATTTAAAAAATTCTGTACAGCAACAGAAACAGATAACTAAGTATAGACAAACCTCCCACAAGCTGACATTTCACAAAGGATTAATAGATAGAATAGACAAGAAAAAAAACCACAAAAATTTAAAAACTCAAACAACCCAATCAATAGGCAAGCTAACAAAATGAATAGTCAAATTCTCTTTTAAAAAAATGACTCTTTAATGTGTGGGGTGTGTTGTATGTGCATGTGATGCATATAAGTATGTGAAGACATATGCCCATGTGTTTACATGCAGAGTCCAGTGTCTTCTTCTCTTGTCGTCATACCTCATGGCCTTGAGATAGCATCTTGCCCCTTCACTAGGATAGATGATTTTTGGGATCCATCTATCCCTACTCTCCATTGTTAGGGTTTATAAGCACAAATAGATGCTAGAGATTCAAACTCAGATTCTTATGCTTGAAGAGCAAATATTATTCTCAATTGAGCCATATACCCAGCCCCCTGAACAATTTTCAAATGATGAAATGCAAATGGCCCAATAAGCAAATATAATAAATACACTCTTCCTCACCAGTCATCCCAGAAATACAATTCAAAACATCACTGGGTTTCCATCTTACCTCCAATACAATATCACTCCTCAAGGCAAGAAACAACAGTAAATGTTGATTCAGGTGTGCACACAAGGGAACTTTTATACACTGTAGGTTGCAATGTAAACCAGTCTAGCCACTATGGAAATCAGTAAGGAGGAGTCTCAAAAATAAAGGAAAACAACACCTAGAAATAGATCTATCATATAATCAGCTGTACCAAAAGAGCACAAATCAACATATCATAGACACACTTGCTCATCGGTGTTTATTGAATCACTGCACACATTAGCTAAACTATGAAACTAATTTATGTGCCCAACAATACAGGAATGGCTAAGGAAAGTATGGCATGTGTACACAATGGAATTTTTACAGCCACAGTCAAAAACAAAGTTTCACTAATTGCAGAAGAATGGATACAGCTAGAGAGAATCATATTAGCCAAATTAAACTAGTTTCAGAACAACATATATTGTACATTTTCTATCCTCTATGATTTCTAAATTTTACAGCCGCCTAAAATCATGCACATATATAGGACAGAAAAGTAGAATCAGAATTAAATGGAATTAACTGTTCAGGGAAATAAAGAGAACTAATGGAAGAGGGAAAAGCTGATAAAAAGGAGATTAGGGAGAAACAGGCTGGCAATCATACACCTAACATACAGTATGTATACCTGTAAGAAAAAAATAAAAAGTAAAATATAAAATAAAAGTCACTGTTATTACTGGCAACAAACACTAAAAATTTATCGTGTGATCCCTTCTGATATTCATTTTCCAAGAAACAAGCAAAAACATTGGGAATGAGCCAATCTGACTTTCTAATTAGCAACTATTAAATGTTTTTACTGCCTGAGCTGCCATGAGCAAAAGGAGTGCCAATCTAATATCCAGCCAGACTATACTTGTACCCACACCAACTAACTATGCGTGCCTTGAGACACAAAGATTACAACTGATTGTCCTGGCTCCTAAAAGTACAGTTGTAGCCAAGACTGTCTGAAACAGTTCCAGATGTTTTGCAATCATAAGTCTTGATAAACCATTTCCACTGTAGTCAAACAGTGTCCTTTTACATGGGGGGGGGGGGTTAGTACTAAGACTGATCTTAAACATAGCCCAAATGACTGGGGTTGTTGTAAAAGGAAGTTATGATTGCCCAATGGTTATGATTGGTCCAAATGCACCTCCTCAAACTATAGAATCAGGCAGCCTAGTCTTACTCAGAAAGGCAGCTGCAAGACACCATACTGTTCTTCCTCTCCTGTATTGCAGCATTAGCTCCAAGCAAACATGTCTCTCAAGTGGTGCTTTTGACTGGTTTTTGTTATGTGGTCTGAAGTGGTAGCATGAAGAATTGGCAGTGGTGGTAATCTAAACAAATAAGTGTGTCTTCCTTGAGATAAACATTGATAACATAGGCCTTGTGCACAGCCTGGTTGGTCGTTGAACAAGTTCCTGCCTTTGACAATAACTTGATCCTAAAATCAGTGCTTGTACAGGCACTGTACAAACCTTTCCTCCCTGTGTTTCTTCTGATCCCTGATACTGGGTTCCATTCTGAACAACCCAGTATACATTTCTAAGCACCAAGCTTCCAAGTACTAAGTGGTGCTGCTTTCATTACTGCTTGATAACAGCCTTGAAGGCAGCCCCAGAAGCTGGTGCCATATTTCTAGATGGAGCACCAAACAGACCTGTTTGTAACAGTACCTAGTTTGAGATCCCAGAACACTGGTAAATGTCATTTGATAACTTAATAAGTAGCATCTGTGGGAAGCCTTACACCTGCACAGTAGCAGTGCCCAAAGGCCTGAAATTTTACCTAGTGAAAATTTTACCTAGTGAAATAGTTTACACCACAACTGAAGAATATCTAATAGTTAAAGTTTGGGCCCCATAAATCAGCACAAATCATCAGGATTCTGTTTTCCATGAGAAGAGATACCCTATTCTTTTTTCTTTTCTTTTTTATAATTTATTTTTTCTCAAATCGTAATTCATTCACACAGGGGTTATAACACAGAAAGGCAGGATGTGGGGAAGGGAGATACCCGATTCTTAAATAATCCGTACCATGCCTTATGCCCAGTCTCTGAATAGCACTGACTCATAAGCAGAAGCAGGTGCCTCCAGTACACACTGGCTCCAGCATATAGAGAGAGGTAGGACAAGTTTTGGCAAAGAACAATGAGAGCTAAAGAAGCCACTGAATGTTTTGAAAGTAGTCAGTTCAGAAAGAAGACATGAAATAAAAGTAGAAAGACTGAGAGAGCGGGCTGAAAGAAGCCACAAGAAAGAACCGATGGAGTCTCTGGTTAGCAACTGAGTTCCAAAGAAATCCCAAATCTTTAAAGTCAAGGGTCTCAGATTCTGGACCACAATGATACATAAAATTAACTATTGCTTAAGGCCAAAAATCTGTATACTCTGTGCTACTAAGTGGCCCAGTGTCTAAAGCCAGTTTTAGGACTTCGATATAAGAGGGTGATACTTCTGTTACTTCTATTTGTCTGTTACCATCACTTGCTGTTGTCAAACATTAAAAGAAACCAAAGCTGTCTATCCATGATTTCTTTGCAGGTAGAGTGAATGCATCTCAAGGCAGGCACTGCATTCCACCTTCCAGTCAACCCAGACCAATCTGTTAAATACTTTCTTGCTTCTGGTCTAAATCCTCCATGTATCTCTCCCATGTTTTGCCCTAGTCATCTACCAAATGCCACCTCTGTGAAAGAACTGGCATTTTCAATGACCCAATGAGTTAGAAAGCAAGTCCAGCAGCCAAATAAGGAACTAACCTTCAGCTTTAACTTTTTGTAAATATGGCTCATGTACAAAACGAAGGATTCTGGAGATGTTCCTACAAAAGGATGGACATGGACACACCACCAGAAGCCTCTTTTTCCATAAATTTTTCCAAGTGCTTTTTTTATACCCATGCTCAGATTAAAGGGAAAAAAAGAGAGATAAAAGCAAGTAATTGGTTGACAAAGAAAAGTCATTTCAATTGATGAGGAACTAGTTTCACCTAGGCTCTTTCCCATCTAAATGTGGCCATGTATTTCAGTGAGAAAAACTTCAATTCTATTTGGAACATTAATTGAGGATATGACATAACCTTGAAAAAGGCTGGCTACATACTGCAACCAAAGAGCCACAGGAAGTTGGTTAATAGCAGCAACTGCATCTAAGCAAAATTGTGATCACCCAAGTATAGATTTCAAGGAGCATAACATGTATTTGGGCAGGTGTAGGGACAGGAGCCTTCTGTCTCTTACCTTCCTGGCTCTCTCAAACTCTTCCCAGTTCTGCCATCATACCCTGTTGGACCATAGTCCCATTGAATCTCATGGGCCTCAATGAAGTACTGACGAACTTTGCCTGTGAGCTGGTCCACAGGTGGGTTCATGGAACAAGAGTCAACCTTGTAGAAGGCCTGCATGCCACCTGGAAAGAAAACACATAACTTTCTCTTTCTACTGGTAAGATTCCTACTTAGAGTATATACTCTTCTTTTCCTTATTTTGTCTCCTTTCATCCTCTTCTAGATTTTTTATCTCTATTCCCAAATGTGCCATTTTTCCTGACTCCTTAAGATCCTGGATAATAGAAAGAGTGAGCCCAGGCAGTCAGTCACTGAGACATTTACTAGATCTCACTCATGCATTTGCAAAAGAACTATATGGCAGCACTATCATAGAAACTTGAGTGAGTTTAAGCCAAATATGTATCAATATCTACAAGACCTTAGGTAAGGCCTCAGTCTGAGCACATATCTTTTCAAAATGAAGACAATGAAGATGTCTATACCTCAGTCTAAAATAAGGCTATATTATTTTTAAACTGAGAAGAGAGGAAAATAATGAGCCACTTTTCATACATGGAGATTAAGCTTTATATCTGTAATTGTCAGAAAATTTAGTATATAGATACTCTCCAAATATGAATAATAGTACATTGAAGCACAGTAATAACATATTTCACTTATCTATATTTCCTTAACAATATATGCATGCTACTCAGCTTCATTAACAGTTTTTGTCTCAAAAACTCCTAAGGAGACTATTCCTCCCATATAAGAAGCATGAAATATAAAGAATCATAAACAACACTGATTTTTTGTTGTTTATTTTATTTTACTTTAAGGGGTATTCATTTCTGATGAACACATATATCAAGTATTATGCCAGGTATTCTATATTCAATCTTCAACTAAATTTCCACCTACCTGTGGAAAACACCTTCATTAAAGATGAAGAAAAGGAAAAATCAGAGAAGTTAGGTAACTTTCCCATTATTAAGTACCTATAATTGGCAGAAATCGTTATACTTAAGAACTTATTTTTAATTACAGAAGCCAAGTATTCATTTTTTTCTGGTCTCATTACTCCATTAGAAATCTTAACTTAATACTTCTGAAGTTTCAGTAAAACTTTATGAGGTAAAAATCATTACTTCACTCCTCAAGACTTACCAAAGATGGTAAGCAAGTGACAGAAAGTCATGCTGTCTTTATTCCAATGCTCTTGCTTGTTCTACTATTACGTTGCATCCCTAACCCCAGTGAAATATCTGTGCCCTTTTCCCAAGTATCTATGATGCCAAGGGCAGACTTCAGTCCCTGGAGCATGTATATCAATCCATCCACCCAAGATTCATTGTCCTACCATCATATATATACATACATATACATATACTTATACATATACATATATCCCCACCTGTTCTCACCCACTTTTACATAGTCAAATGAGACGTTCCCAATACTCTCATAATCCATAATGTATCAAAAATTATAGAAAGTATGAACTAAGATATCTATAGATTATTTAGATGAGGTATAAAATTAGAAAGAAACTTACCCCACAGCTTTATATAATGAAATAGGTGGATACTTCATTAAACCTCAAACCTCAAAATCATTTATCTAGTGTTTTTTTCCATTTTCTTTTATGTCTTTTCTTTGCTATGATGCCCCTTGAGATACTATGACATTACTTTAACCACTTTCTTTCTCCAAAGTCTTCCAGACCAACTGCTACCATGTCCTCACTATGGGGTCACTACTCATCCACACTACACCATGATTTCTTTATTCTTCCTTCAACCCATATCCAACTAACTGAAAATACTTCTGAATCCTATCCCTTAACCTTCTCAGAAAAAAAACGAAGTTTAAAACTCTGCTTATTCATTCTTAAGTAATTTTATGTTAAATTTTATAGGGAAGATTAAGCCCATTTTTTTTCTAAATTTTCCCAGCATGTTAATGGCAGAGGCAAAATATCTGATTTCAGTTTAGTTATTTACACCAAAAATTCTAGGAGGCCTATTAGATAGATGGCTCCAAGCTAGAAGCTCTGCTTCCTACTGACCATTAATGACATTTCCCTCATATATTCCAAGAGTGGAAATGTTAGACCTTACTTCTCAAGTGGCTGTTCACTTCACAGCTAATTAACCAGGTTCCAGATTTCTGGGGCACCATCTCAGCAGTCACAAAGGTGGCTGGAAAAAGGTTTGCAACATCAGTGCGGTGTCCACGGATACTCAGCATCTGTCCATGGAAGAAAGCTGTGTGGACATCTATTTCATTGCCCATGCCAAACAAGTGCCAGGCCACACGCTTCTGTGCACACATTCTCAACTCTGGTAAGTTTCCAAAGACAAACCCATTGATTGCTGAAGAAAAACAAAATCAGAAATTAGGAAACGACAGATAAATGGGAAAAACCTTACTATCTGACAATAAGAGTAGATAACATTCAAATGAAGTTTTAAAGAGCACACTGCACTGAACATATGCCTTATTTCATTTAGATGTTACAAATGATTAAAATGAACAGACAATATCATTGGTTGTATTTTTTTAAAATGAAGAAACTAAGACATAAAGAAGTGAAGTTTCTTCTAAATTAGTACCTTCTATCTAAGAACTACACATCTATTAGGTAATAAAATCAATATTCCAAATCCAGCCATCTGAGGAAGTTCTGTGAGATGTTTTCCAAGTCATTCTTTCTTTTCTGGGTAGTTTCATTCTGAAGTTTACACAGTACCAGTGTTACATTACCTATCATGGCTACTGTAATCCATTTTTATAAAAACCCAAGATAAATTCAAACTACCTAATCTATCCTTTATATCTTTCCACTGAGATTTCAGCTGTTTTTTTTGTTTTTTGTTTTTTTTTGTCTTTGGGTGCATTCCTATAACCTAGTAAATATCTTCCTTCACTAACAAAAAGAAAGTTAGGATATATCTATTTCTAAAATCAATTTTCTGCTCATGACTTGGGGTTCTATACTTTTATCTTTAACTTAATCAATATAATTCTTTGCTAGCATAAGCCAATTATCCATTGCACTCTGGATGTGCTGACCCCAAATATGGGAAACTCAACTGCATAATTTGTAGTAGGGGGACTGTATTCATGTGCTCCCAAATGTAAAAAATAGATATAGGCCAAAACTATATGATATAATGAAAATGATCAATTTCTCCAGAAAGTAGATAATTCTGCTATCTTGCATCCTTTTAAAACTAAGGCAATATTAATTACTTATATGAGTGGACAACTCACTCCATGGCTAAATATGTAATATATACTGAGAAAGATAGCCTCAATGGCAGGGGCACAGCCTACATAACTGGAGAGATAAGAAGTGAGATTTGAGTTGTGCTATTTTTTTGATGCACAATGTTATGATCCTCAATATATTCAGACAAAACAGAAAATTCACATGACCTTGGTCTTTCCACCTGCTCGTGGGCTTTGAGAGTATAAAAAGGACCAAACTTGTGAATGAACACAACAAATACTAGACCTAATAGAAACTCTCCATAAGGGCCTCCATTGTCACAATCCAGCCACTTCCTCCTGGCTCACCATGCATCCTGTTGCTATCTTGAAACGCTCCCTCTTCTTTGTCCACTGAGGCAGGGTCTGAGCAGTAAGTAGCAATGTTGTCATCAAGGTGCCAGCTAAGGTTTTCATCTATCACACTGAAGAGGAGGAAGAAATTATGGTCCACATCCTTCCTCTGAGGTGGGGAGTGACCATCCAGGGTTCCTGGACAAGCATAAAAAATGATCCTTGACAATAGGCTACAAGGGTTTCTCATAAGAAAAAAATAGGAAGAGAGAGGAGAGGACCTTACAGATCTGCCAATAATAGAAAATGTTTCTGATGTTACTTTTCATTTTCAAGCTTGCCAGGTGAACCTATTACATAAATGGGGGAAACACGGGTCCTAGAATAATTTCTTCCCATCATCCTTGTCTGGATCTTCAATTCTTCTGCATTTTCTTGAACTTCAAACATGACTACTCTTTGAGGATAACCATTCCAAATCAATCAGCCAAATCCATTTCTAAGTTCTTATCCTTCATCTTACTCAAATGTGTGCTGGCTGCCATCGTCTCTACTTTGAATTTTAAAAATGAAATAAGAAACAACAGAAAAGTAGTGGAGTTGTTCGGTGAATGTTTTTTAAAGGCAGTGAAATAGACACAACAGGGAAAATAGAGTTTGGCAGGCTAATAAATAGGTATCACTCGGCTTCCCAGAGATGTCCCAAATTATATCTTATGGCTTGTTGTCTGAATAAGTACCTCTTTTACACGTGATAAGAGGCCCAATGAGACCAGTTGCAATGTCTCGTGGGGCATCTATGTGAGAGTGGTAAATCCAGGTGAGGCATGCTGGGTCTGCTTCAGTGGGTGCATGACTTTCTGGAATACTCCAGTTGTAGACATGGCTGCCCCCAGGGGGAACAGAATCATCAGCTTTCAGATATCCAGAAGAACCATCTGGGTATAATGAGCCTACAAAATAAAAATGTGCATGTCTAGTACCAGGTAGGAGAATAGCAGATATAGATTAAAAAGAAGACATGAGTTGGTGAGGCACTTACTGAGCAAGCCTGATGACCAGAGTTCAATTCCTAGGATTCATGTAAAGCCAGAAGAAATCAATGACCTCCACAAAGTTATTATCAACATTTATACTGTGGCATTCACACACACACACACACACACATCATATACCCATAAACAATAATAATAAATTAAATTATGTTGGAAAATATAAAAAATATGTGAGATATATGGGATACTTCAGTCACGTCTTGAGGAATATGGAAGAGAGGCCCTTGGTCCTGTGAAGGCTTGATGCCTAGTGCACGGGAATGCCAGGGTGGTGTGGTGGGATGGGTGGTTAGGTAGGGGCAGGGGGAAGAGGAGGTGATAAGAGGTTTGCAGAGGTGAGACTGGGAAAGGGGATAACATTTGAAATGTAAATAAATATAATATAAAAAAAAACATACTACAGTGTTCCTCACCCCAGTTCTCACATCAACAATGGAAAAAAGAGAGAAAAAAAAAACATTGTGTATCATGCACTACCTCTGGATCATACAATGATTCTGCACCTTCTTCCTCACTTATTCCTAAGCCCTGGGGGATGGGATGCAATATAGATGTCTCAATTAGATCTGAGCACTCTATAGTTCCTAATTCTCTGCATATTGATCAGTTGTAGGTCTCTGTATTAATGGCCACATACTACTGAAGAACCTTCCTTGTTGGCTTGTGAGACGTTTCTGGGCATCAGAAGGCAGTTGCATGCATGAACTCATGGTGGCAGAAACTGCATGCATAAAATCCACAAAAGATCAAGCCAGGCAAAATGCAAGCATGGATGGAGTGGGGGATAATCATGAAGTTCTACCCTTATTTAAAGAGCTAATGGCAAATGATGGCTTCTGAGAAAGGAGAGTCTATTTTCTTCAGCATGTAGCCTGCTGATGCTCCAGTTAATGGCCCTCCATCCATGTACATACTGGCAGCAGTAAGCAGAGTACTGAGTTGACTTCAAGAAAAAGAGTGCATAAAGTTTGGAAGAAGGAATAGCAGTGTGAAAATAGGGGAGGTATTGGAAGAGACGCAGTGAGTGATGAGAAATAAATTTGATAATTTACTTTTTAAAACATAAAATTAAAGAAAATTAAAATAATTAAGAGTTCTGAGAAAAATAGAAATCACTTGGGATGATATACATTCAGAAAAGTTATGACAGTACAGTTCTATTAACACTCAGAAGTTAAGATTCTAGCCTGGGTATATAAGGAGAGCCAGCCTGAGGGTATCAGGACTCCTTCCTTTCAAGCACTTACTTTGAAATGCATACAGCCAACAATCAGAGAGCTTTAGCTTAAAATCAGTTTAATGATCAGTGGGTTTACTTTCTCATTGTAGGGAAAATAAAACTGAAAGTAATTTTATTTCTTTACATTAAAAATTATGACTTCTAAGAATTTTGATTTAGTAAAAGAGGTTGCTTGATGGTTTCATACAGAGAACTCATTATCCTACTGCCTCTTCCTCCTAAGTGCTAAAATCACAGTTAGGTATCACCAGAGTAATATTTATTTTGTTATGAGTTACAAAGTGTTATTGCTACATATATGCTACCCTAGCATGCCATAGAACACCAAAGCTTATTCTTCCTGTGACATTGAATTTTGAGTAATCTCTCCCCACTCTTATCCTTTCTTTGCCCCAGGCTCTGATAACTGTAATTCTCAATGTCTATGATAACAACTATTTTGGATTCCATTATCTTTCTGTAGCTGTTTTAGTTCACTCAACATGGTGTCCTTCTAGATTACTCCATGTTGTCATAAAACAAAATATTTCTCTTTTTTCCTAAGGTTGAATAACATTACACATATATGCATGTGTGTGCATTTCATTATATATGAATGTAATATATATTAATACATTATATTGTATTAATGCATATATGTATATGTTAATGCAATATATATTGCAGTTCTGAGGACGGGATACAGCAGAGCCTTGCAAATCTATCACCCACATCGTTTGTTCAATACACCATTTACTTTGTCTATTCATCTGTAGATGGGCATTTAAAATGATTATATAACATGGCTATTGTGAATAGTGCTATAATAACCATGGGAGTATATGTCTCTTTAACATGTTGATATAGTTTTCTTTGGTTATATACCTAATAATGTGATTTCTGAGCAGTAACATAGTTCTAATTTTAGGAACTGCATATTGTTACCTGATGGATACACTAATTTGCCTTTCCTTTAATAGTATAAAAGTTTTCCTTTTCTGTGCATCTTTATCTCAAACAAGAGCTTCTGCCTTCCCAATTTAATTCTCTCACTAACTACAATATTTGTTTTAGGCCATTGTGCCTCAAATGTTAGGAGATGCTAAAGAATAAACTAAGTACCCTCTTTGAAAAAATAGACCTTTTGGAAGGCTGTGGATTCAGAATTGCATTTCTTTACTTTCACAGAACTTTTCTCTCAAAAGCATATTCAAATACTACATAGAATAGGAATTCAAATAGTTCCTTGTAATAATAAAAAAATGAACTGTGTTTTCATATTGCTTATACAAAATTTGTACAATACCTTGTCCAAATTACAAAATGGATATAAACAGCACTGAAATTAATACACAGACATGTTTACTCTAAGCAAAATTTTGTTATGGTAAATCAATAAGAAAAAAGCTATATAGTTTCACCAGTTATACCGGATGTGTGCTTGATCACACATAGGTGAGAAGTACATAGGCAGAAAGTACATCAAGATGCATGCTTGCCCCTGATTGGATGATTGCAGGAAATACATACACTTGCAAGTTTTGTCTTTATAAGTCCCTGACTAATGTAATATGGGTATATATACTCTAGGAATCCCAGGTAAGGACCGGGCCAGTCTCTATGGTCCTGGACAGTATTTAATAAAGCTTGCTTCAAGAGTGGCAAAGAAAGAAAGAAAGAAAGAAAGAAAGAAAGAAAGAAAGAAAGAAAGAAAGAAAGAAAGAAAGGAGGAAGGG